TCTGTATTTAATGCAATGTGTAATCAAGAATAAGCCATTGTTAGGTCAATTGCTTTCCTGTGTTTATCCTTTCAAACAGTAAATAATCAGTGGGATGAGAAAGGGCAGTAAAAGATAGTTTTAATGTCAGTACTCATAAGTGTCCAACATCTTAAAGAGATGTTTTAATATTTATACACTGCAGAATACTCTCCCCTCTGGAGAGCTGACTGGGAATTGATATGAACCCAGACAGAAATAGAGTTCAAGAGCCATTGTTTTGCACAGACTTTCAATCAAGCCTGAGTAGCACTCTGGATTCCCTCAAACTTGGCTATTACTCAGCCTCTGGCTTTCCTCTGAGCACGAGGCTAGGAGGGATATTCGCTTCAATGCAGACCCAGTGGATTTTCTATGTTAGCTTGGTTTTTTGTAGATGTCTTTATCAAGTTGAGGAAGTTCTCCTTAATTCTTAGTTTTCTGAGTGTTTTTTTCTTAAATCATAAATGGGTATTGAGTTTTGCCTAATGTTTTTCTGTTTCAATTGGTATGATCTTGTGATTTTCTTCTCTAGCATGTTAATACGTTGGATTACATTTATTACTTTTCAAAGACAGGACCACCTTGCATCCTGGAGTAAAACGCATTTGGTCATGGTATATATAATTCTTTTCATATATTACTGAATTTTATTTGCTAAAATTTCTGTACGAATTTTTGCATCTGTATCCATGAGGGATATTGGTCTGTAGTTGTGGAGTGTTTTTGTATTCTCCTTGGGTTTGGTATCAGGGTGATACTGGCTTCATTGAATGGGTAGGAAAGTGTTACCTCCTTTTCTTTTTCTGGAAGAAATAGTATAGAAATTATGTTAATTCTTCTTTAAACATTTGGTAGAATTCTCCAGAAAAACCATCTGGGCCTAGAGATTTTGGGGAGGTTTTTAATGAGGAGTTCAGTGTCCTTAATAATTATAAGGCTGTTCAAATTATATTATGTGAGTTTTTATAATTTTTACTTTTCTAGGAGTTGGTCTGTTTCATCCAAGTTGTCAAATTTTATGTGTATGGAGTTGTTTATAGTATTCTTTTATTATTCTATTGGTAGTATATTCCCTTCCTGAACTATGGAGTCTAGTAACGTCCTCTGTCTCATTCCTGAATTTAGTAATTTGTTTCTTTTCTCTTTTTTCTTTGGCAGTCTCGTTGGAGGTTTGTTCATTTTATTGATCTTTTCTAAGAACCAGCTATTTTATTTTATTAATTTTCTCTATTAATTTTCTGTTTCAAATTTCACTGATTTATGTTCTTCATTATATCCATTTTTCTGCTTACTTTGTTCTTTTGTTTTCTTTTTTCTCTTTTCCCTAATTTTTTGCAGTGGGATCTTAGATTACTTCTTTGAGACTTTTTTTCTTTTCTAGTGAAAGCATTTAATGCTGTAAAATTCCCTCTCAGCACTGCTTTAGCTGTATCTTATACATTTTGATATATAGCATTTTCATTCTCATTAAGTTCATTGTATTTTTTTATTTCCCTTGAGACTTTCTCTTTGACCCATGGATTATTTAGAAGTGTGTTGTTTAGTTTCCAACTGTTAGGAGACTTTCCTATTATCTTTCTGTTCTTGAGTTCTACTTTTACTTCATGTGACCAGAGAACAAACTCAGAAGGTTTTTTACTTTCTGTTTTAAAGTTAAAATATCCTCATGTGATTGTGGATTTATCTATTTCTTCTTTTAGTCTTCTCAATTTTTGCTTTATGCACTTTGAAGTTTGTTATTAGGTGCATGCAAATTTAGGATTGTCATATATCTGTGAAGGATTGACCCATATATTATTATGACTCATCTCATTTTATTTCTGGTAATTACTACTGCTTTAAAGTCTACTTTTTCTGATATTGATATAGTTATATCATCTTTCTCTTGCTCAGTTTTTGCTTAGTATATCTTTTTCATTCTTTTACTTTCAAAATTTCTGGATCCTTATATTTAAAGTGTGTCTTTTGTAAGAGGCATATAGTTAGGTTTGGTTTTGTTTTCATGTCCAGTCAGATAATATCTGTGTTTTAATTGTAGTATTTATGCTGCCTGCTTACATTTAATGATTCTGCATATATAATTTGATTTAAATCTCTGTTTCACTCTTCATTTTCTACTTGTTCCACCTATTCTATGTTTATTCTTCTCTGTTTTCTTGCCTTTTTCAAGATCATTAATCAAGCATTTTGTGTGATTCAGTTTTTCCCTTGAGTTTGAGTTGGTTATACATTTTTTTTAATTTTATTTATTTAATTTATTTATTTTTGGCTACATTGGGTCTTCATTGCTGCATGCAGGCTTTCTCTAGTTGTGGTGAGCGGGAGCTACTCTTCATTGCAGTGCACGGGCTTCTCATTGCGGTAGCTTCTCTTGTTGCGGAGCACAGGCTCTAGGCATTCGGGCTTCAGTAGATGTGGCACGTGGGCTCAGTAGCGGCTCATGGGCTCTAGAGTGCATGCTCAGTAGTTGTGGCGCACGGGCTTAGTTGCTCTGTTGCATGTGGGGTCTTCCCAGACCAGGGCTTGAACCCGTGTCCCCTGCACTGGCAGGTGGATTCTTAACCACTGTGCCACCAAGGAAGCCCTGTTACACATTCTTTCACTCTCCTTTATTACCTTTAATACTCAAGAGATGATAACACACATTCTTGATTTATTGTAGTGTAAGATAAATTAGTACCTTTATCATTTCTTGAACAACGTATGGACGTTGGAACACTTTAACCACATTCAGCCCACCTACTTTTTAGGCTGTGCTTTCATGTATTTTAAATCTACGTATCTTTTGAACCCTGCAATACAATGTAATTATTGTTTTATATGTTAACTATTCATCTATTTTAACTATTTCTATTTCTCCTTGTTTCTCTCTGAATATCTTTGCTTCCATCCTGGGATATTATTCCTTTTTACCTTTATAACTTACTGTGGTATTTCTTGTAATGTGGCAAAGCCTCTCAGTTTTTGTTTGTTTTAAAATGTTTTTATTTCACATTCATTTTTAAGGATATTTTCTTTGGGTATGTAGTTATCAGGGGTTTTTTGTTTGCTTGCCTGTTAACGTTTTAAAGGTATCATTCCGTTATTTCTGGCTTCCAATGTTTTCATCGAAGTCTGTTGTCAGACTACTGTTACTCCTTTGAAAATAATGTATTTTTTGTCTTTGATTTATTTAAAATTTTCCTGACTTCCGTTTTTCAGCAGTTTTACTATGGTGTGTGTGTGTGTGTGTGTGTGTGCGCGCGCGCGCGCGCGCGTGTGTGTTGTTGGTTTAAACAGGGTTAGGATTTGTAGAGCTTCCTAAATCTGTGATTTAATGTCCTTTGTCAATTTGGAAAATACTCAGCTGTTGTTTCTTGAAATATTGTTTCTGATCCATTTTCTTGCTCTCTCTTTTCCTTCTGAGACTCCAAAGACACAAAAATAGTAGACCATTCTGTACACGTTACGTGTTCCTCGCTGTCTGTCCTGTGCTTCTGTTTTGCTTGCTTGTTTTTTTTTCTCTACGTTTCAGTCTGGTTATTTTTGAACACCCTATCTTCCAGTTTAATAGTCTTGCCTTTTGCTCTAGCCAAAGTTCTATTAATCCCATCTGTTGAGTTCTTAATTTTAGTTATTGTAATTTTCAGGTTTAAAGTGTCCGTTTGTTTGTTTTACCCCAATATCCTACTGTTCTGATGAAATTCTCCATCTTATCATCTTTTTTCTTGACTTCATTAATTACAGTTTTTTTCAGAACCATGTCTAATAATGTAAATATCTAGATTAGCTGTGGGTTGATTTGTACTGTTTTATTTTCAGTCATTTGGTCCTATCTCCTGGTATGCATTGATTGAACGCTAGACACAGCACTTGAAAAATTGTAGAAATAATCTCAGGTTGCTGCTATCTTTCTCCAGAGAGGATTTTTTTTGCTTTCTGGCAGGCAGTGAGAGTAGGGGCATATTGCCTTAATCCAGTCTTGGAATTAGGTGGCTGGAAGCTAGATTTTAGTTGTTTTAACTGTAGTCTGTTTGTAGTTAATTCTTATCCTGGGGGTGTAGCCTTTCTGTGATCCTAACTGGAAATCTGGGTTGTTTACCAGGCCCTTATTCCTTAGCAGACATAAACTCTAATTTCTATTTTCCCAACCCTATGGGAGTGTCAGATTTTCTGCTTAGTCTACAAGTCTCTTAGCCACTAAACTCTGCTCACTTTTTAGCACTTGATTCTGTGCTACTTATGAATTAGCGAATGACGTGCAGAGAATAGTGCCACAGAATATTGGGCTTAATTCAGTGTGCTTACCTGCTTTTCGGAATCAGTCTTAGCCCCTCAATTTCTGGCTGCTTTGGGAGTTCTCCAGTGCCATCAAGCGGTTTTTTTGTTTTGTTTTGCTTTTTCCCTAATTGGTCCAGCTTCTCTGGTTCTTCTTATGAAAGTGAGACTACGACAAGCTATTCCATCACTACCAAAAACAGAACTTCCCTTTTTTTGATGGTAGTGTTGATAACGTTCATGATTATTTATGGTTAATAGACGTTGTTAGGAGAATAAAAAAACGTAAGATGTATGATAGCCACATGTATAGGGTCTGGTACATAGTAAGCACTCATAAATGATTTGACATTTGGATCTAAATATATACTGATTTTGAAAAATCGTAGAAGAGATTTGTCATTAGCATTCAGTTTTTCTCGTGTTGTTCTTTCTTGTGGAGGCCCCAGAGCACAGCATCACTGTCGTGCTCTTGAGTGTTGGTCTCATGAACTTTACATCAGTAACATTTCTGAAGGCTACCTCTCCTTACCGTGCTCTCACTCAGAGACCCTGTAGGCCATTGTCACCATTTCAGTGACCATATTTAGCAAGTGGGAGGTAAGCTTGTTTCCTTCTCTTGCAGCTCATGCCTCAGTATCTTTCCATAGAGAATAACTAATCTGATGGTGCTCAACTTCAGCCCTTTCTCTACTTAACTGTTTTCCTGTGTTCTGCCACAGCTTTCCACCCACTGCAGCTTTGTTCCAGGCTTTTTCTTCTGGCAGCGAGGCCAGTGTTGGTGAAAGCTGGCAAGTATCTTATGAATTGGTTTCTCTGTGCACTTATGTGAGTGAAAACTAAGAAATGCCAAGAAAAAGCAGCAGAACTAGATCTAAATGTTTCAGAAATTCAGGACGTTATAGTACCAAAAGGCTTGTATGTGCTTACTTCCAGTTTAAAGTCTGGAAAACAGCTTTTATGAGTGTATGTTATTTCCGAGTCTTAAAACTAATTCACTAGAAAATTTTTCCAGTGAAAAATTTAAAGCAGTAGACTTCAACGGTAATTTTTAGATCATATGAGTCTACATGCAGTTTTGAAGAGGCTCAGTCCATGGATTTCCTTTTGTGTCATTTTTTTTTCTGAGAAGGAATTTCTCCAAACTTAGCTATATCAGATAGAATATGTCCAGAATCTACTTAGATGTGGGTTTTAGGATATAGAGACATAATATATATGAGGATTTTCAAGACTAAGGCTGGTGATAGTGATGAAGATGATGATGATAGCTAATAATAGTATTCATTGAACACTTAATATGTGCTCAGTATTGAGACATTTTACATGCATTGTATTGCCTCTTGAGAAGTATCTAACTATCCATTACCTCTCTTGAGATTATCATCTTTCTCCTAGTGTTCAATAGCATGGAATTTGAATTTGGGTGTAAATCCTAGATATAAAATCCTAACTCTACCACTCTGTGGTCCTTGGCCATAGTATGTAACATCTTTGAGCCTCTCTTTCTTCACCTCTAGGGTGACTATGATGTCATGTCTCATAGGATTCTTGGATATTTGAAGAGTTAATGCATGTTAAACTCACAGCACATGGCTGTCTCGTTTTGAGTGCTAAGCAAATTTTGGCCATTATTTTTTTTCTCACTTTTTTTTTTTTTTTTTTTTAACCTCTATTGGTTAAGATACCCTTCCCTTCAGTAGATCAGTCAGGTGGAGAATGTAGTGAATAGAAATATCTAAAAATAGGAGAAAGGGGGATTACAGGAACCACTGAGGATGTGTCCTGAACCAGCTTACCTTTCAGGCCAGGGCTTAGGAAACATGGTTCTTTTACACTTGTTTGAGTTTCATAAAATTTGCTATTTAATGACTCCCCATTCATTCAACCAATATTTATTAAGATTTGGCCATAGTTCTTACTATCATGGAACTTAAGATCTACTGGAGGAAATAAACATCAAATAACTGTAAATACTTCTTGAGTACTCCCAAGGAAAAGTACAAGGTGCTGTAAACATATTTGATGTTATGAAGAATTAACTGAGAAAGTGACATTTAAGTTGAGACTTGAAGGGTGAGTAGTTGTCAAAGTTTGGTGGCGGAAAAGGAATGAAGGGCATTTCAGACAGAAGAGCAACATAGGGGAAAGGCCTGTTGTGGAAAAGAGCTTGGCATGTGTGAAGAAGTGAAAGAAGGTCCTCTTACCAACGCCAGGCAGAGCACAAAGAACTGAGGCTTAATAATTGGATGAGTTAATCAGTCTGCATGGTACTTTCATTCTCTTCATTGGACCAAGAGGTATGCCCTAGCACAGATCACAACACAGAAAAGGTGCTTCATTTTCTTCAGCATCACATCTCAGTGTACCCATCATTATTAGCCTATTCAGGGACATGCACCTCCTAGCTCCCAGAGATCTAACCCATTTCCCTCCCCATCACTCACTCACAGGGCTATGAGATGCCTTATTAATCTGATAAATGTAAGCTCCTGCAGTTACAGATCAACTATTAATGGCCCGAGGTCGTGGCTCTCAAACTTGAGCTTGCAAAAGGATCACCTGAAAGGCTTGTTACACCACAGATCTGGGCTCCATCCCAGAGTTTCAGATTTAGTAGGTCTGGGATGGTGCCCTAAAATGGACATTTCTAACAAGTTGCCTGGTGGTACTGACGCTGCTGGCCTGGGTTCTGTACTTGGCGAATCACTAATTTAAGGTGTCTTTCTTCTTTCAGCAGTTCAACGATCACCATTAGTTAACTCAAAGAAAAATACTCAGGGAGGGCCCAAAAGGGAATATACTAAAATCAAAGCTACACATTGTAGGTAACTGCTACATTTGGCTAATTGAACCATACCTTCTTATAGGCAAGACTTACCTTAAATATCTGTATTCCCAGTGCTTAGGACATCGTAGGTACCCAATATATGTTGATTAAATGAGTTGATTAGTGAAGGAATCACTGAATGGATCTATTTCAGTGGCTTTTATACATTATTCTTTGGAAAGTTCTCATGATTCCTTTCAGTCTGAAAGGCCTTCTTGGAGAATAAATTATTGTCATTCTGTTGGAATACAACCTCAGAAACTGCGGAGTCAAGATATGCCTGTATTTTAAGTGCTTACTTGGATTGAAAACTGAATTGCTAACAGGATTACAAAATGCCAGGTTTGCTGAGACTCAGATTGTTTACATGCATGTTTGGTTCTAAGTTCTTTCGTCAGTCAGTACATTTCTGTGTCTAATTGCGATCTTAATGTTTTGGGGCTTTTCTCTGACACCTGCACATGAATTTTCAGTCAAAACCAACTTTAGTAATTTTCACAGGTATAACTAAAGCAAGGCTCATAACTCCAATGTGTCACCTACGTTACGTGGATAATGAATTCAGAGGTGCTGTACCTCAATTCACCTTGTGATTCAGAAAACGGTCTGCTCTTTTTCCCATTTTCACTCTCACAGTGTTGTAAAACATTTTTAATGAACACTTTAACATTTTTTCTCGTTCCAGGAGCGTGGAGTTTTAGTAGGTGATGCAACATAATTTTCATTTGTGATTCTTTATATTTGTCTTTGGAATCCTTATATTTGGATTAAAGGAAAAGAAAAATGTCCAAGATTATCATAATCCTCCAAGATATAATATTTGTAATCTGGAAGTATATTACTGCCACCAGTCAAATCACAGTCTAGGTCCTGATGTTTGGAGCTGGGTTTGATGTGGGCCATCCATCAAATCTCAGATGTGAGCCAGACACTGGCTAATGGGTCAAAGTCTTCTATGTACTATAATGAGCCAACCTAAACAATTCTGGGCCCAGCTTTTAGCTTGCACCTTGACCCTAGCTGACACCTGTAAAATTGCAAGTAAGTTCTCTGTAGGCGCTAATAGAGTCCTACTTAGAGAAAAAGTCATTTTAGCATCAGCTGACATTTATTTTTTTGTCCTGCCCCTTATTCGTTTTGAACAGATTCACCTAAGTGGGGTCAGCCACCAAAAAAGGATGTGGTGCTATACTTGTTGTTTCTGGTTGCCCACTGCTAAAGAATATCTTGGAGATGATATTTCCTATTCTTTAAACATAGAAGATGAAGAATTTGAACAGTGGTTCCAAAATATCATTGCAAGAGTGCACTCACTTGGAGAACTCAGCTGAGATGAGTTTTCCCAGACACGTGTCACCTTTGGGCATCCAGGGTAGCTGTGGCCTGGCCAGGCACTGCTTTCGGGCCCTTCAGAAGGCAGCTGAATGATGCTCACGTTAACATTTCACTGTGCATTAATTCTTTTTTAAAAAACTGTCATTTAGTTTTAAGTGCTAATATGCATATGGTTAATTAAGAAGCCAGAATTGGCTATAAGCTTGGTGAGCTCTAAGAACAGGGAGAGAGAGAGATCATTACGCTTCTGTTCATAGTTAGCTATTTGTGAACCAGCTGATAACGTGCAAAATTAAGATTTCGTAAGCGGCATTTTAAATGAATGGTTAATGGCTGAAGATTAATTAAACAGTCAGAATTGCTAAAGAAAAGCTGTTTAAAATTATGTTTATAGGCCAGTCACTTGCACACTGAAACTGAAATCCTGATAGATTGTGGCCTTTTCTGTTTGCCGAGAGAGATTTTTAACAAAGCAGGCCTTCCAGAGTAGGAAGACCCATCCTTCTCACACATCGCGTGGCCTGGCAGCAGCCTCAGGGACGTTCCTTTGGAGGAAAAGCTGCCAAGTAGGAAAATGGGCTAGAAAAGTATTTTGTTGAAGGGATCTTCATTAAAGCCTTCATCCCGGGTAACGAGGCATATTTTATTCCTTCCTGAGTGCTGCATAGTTCTGAGTTAGTGCAGACAGAACCCATGGGGTTTTTAGGAAGCTGCTCTGCAATTCTGTAAGAGCGACAGAGCATTGCAGGATATTGTTTTCAACCTGTAGTGGATACTTCCTTTAGACTGAAACTGCTGGCTGTCTTGGAAGTGGAAACATGGATTTTGTGCACCTGGCTCCACCATAGGTTCCTTGGGGGCAAGGTTTGCCTTGTGCATAGGAGGTGCTGTAAAAATATATTTTGAATGAATAGCTCAACTCAATAAACACTGAACAAATAAAGAAATGAACGGGCTACTGAAAAGTTTGGTAGTGGAGTATCAAACGCTCTTTTCAGTGTCCTTCCACCCATCCAAGTAAATGGTCACCCTTCTCTTCTCCTGCACCAGGTATTAATGTGTGGCTGTGTAATGACAGTGTCCCAGCCTCAGGGATCATAGAGGTTAGTGGAGAAGACACGGACATGGCAACAAGTAAATCCATCGCAGCCATGCTGAGCACAGGAAGGGAGCCAAGGAAGGGAGTTGGGAATCTCAGGATGAGGGTGGGGTCAGTCAAGAGTGTATTTTCCTATAAATTGCAAGTAAAATAATTCTAGCGATTTAAAAAAATATTAACATTAAAATGTACTCTTTCATTTTGAGTCCATTCAATTCAATCCCCTGCTTCTAAGCAGAAGACCCAAACCATAAAGGCCAGACAGTTGTGGCTCCTGTGTGAAAGTTCGCTAGAGATGGAAATCCTGCAGCCTCCCTTGGCGTCCTGTGCTAGTGTTTAATCACCCTTCTAATCAAGAAGTTAATCCTATTTCCTCTTCTTCAGCCTTCTTTGAGTTGGTGGAACCTGTAAAATACCCGTGAGACCCCTCGGAAGCCTTGAGAAGTTAATTAGTCAACACCAGGCTGCTCTAGGTTCAGCAAGGTGCCTTGTAATGTGAGGCCTGTACCTGCACTGTAGTGCTGGGATGACTTTGTTATGTCTCTAATAAGTCAGCATTGTTTT